TATTAGCGGCACGGCACGCGAATTGTTCAAACGCGATTCAGTTCCCTCCTAACTGTAAAACACAATAAGCTCTAATTAATAAAGCCATTCGCGATTCGCCGTATTTAAGTGGCCATTTTGCGGCTCTCATTGTTGAAAACGCTTCGAGAGACGCAACGCTTCAGGTAATTGTTATTCGACTGCGCGTCCGCTCAGATTGTTCGATGATCGTGTGTGTATGTGCGTGGGGGCCTGTACATATTCAAGAAAGGAACAAATCAATGCTAATTGTTATGTTCATAGCGGCTTGAGTATCGAAACGTCCAAAAGTCGGAGAATTACCGCCGCCCAGGTACTTAGGGACGCCCGATTTACGACCGCCTCCGATCCGTTTAATGGAAGGGTCAGAAGCGGGATGGCGACTAGGAAAATATTGAAAGGAAACGTCCCGATAGCGGGATTAATGGCCCGGAGAGGAAGGGGAAATTTATAACTATAGAAAAGGTGACGGAGCGGGTATAGAATTCCTTCTCTCGCGTAGGGGGCTACGAAGATTTCGGCTCTATGTATGTTTAAGGTCGCGTAAACGATGAGGGTTAAATTATGTTTCCGTTGTGGTTTGAATGATATTGCCGACTCTAAAAGGTTCGATGAAGGATGCGAAAGCAAACCAAATTAGTTTTTGAAAATTATAGGCAGCACCGCATCCGTTCGTTTCTTAAGTTTCGAATTTGACCTCTCAGAAGTTCTCACTAGAAATTTTCAATGATCGGTGTTGGTGCTGAATAAAGTTGGCTCGTCATTTCTGATAGCTAATGTATGTTCTTTTCAAATTTAATCTTTTGTTCTTTAACTTTGTTCGAACGGTATGATGAGATTTGTAGCTGATTTTGACAGTGACACTTATATGGGAAAACGAGTGTCTTGATATCTAGAGCTCAAATAACGCATATGTTTTATTTAACGCTGTAAACAATCTTTCATGTTTATTGCCCAATGTACCTGTACCAGTGGTGGGTTTAACTAATGTAAGACATTGAAGTTCCAACTTTATTTATTTTATCGATTGATTAGCTGCATGAAGTACAGCAAATGATAATGTTGTTAATTTTTCAAAGAAACTTTGACTGAAACTTCAGGATTTCTCCTGCGTCGTTGTTGTTGAGTCGAACTTGATAACGTTTCGCCAATCATCCTGTTGGCTTCTTTAGAGAATGACTGAAACTGGTTCGCATTTTACCCTGTACCTGAGGGGGATATAAACATCTTCTCGGATAACTGATTCCTATACTGATGACAGGTAAAGACCTGAGTCGCCTTTAAGATTGTTAGGTCGGTTATAGATTTCTATAGACTCTCGGATTTTTCGTTGCTAGTTTTATCACATAAAAGTTTATGACCGGTTCCGTTATTATGTTCGGCAATTGCTGATGAGTTTATTTGTTTTAGTCTTAAGGCTCTTTCATGTTCTTTGAGCCTAGTCGATATTTTTCGTCCGGCCTCTCCAATGTTTTCTTTGCCGCATATGCGTGGGATGCTGCAAACTCCTGGCATCACAAGCGGAATTTTGTCTTTGACGGAACGAAGATGTTGTGAGATTTTTGGACAGGAGGATGCAATATGAAGTCTGATTTTCTATTGATAGGAATATCTAAGAATCTAAGAAACGTATGTTAGGGTGTATAGAGTTTAAATGTCTGAGGAAATCTACTACGGAGTCTTGACCATGGAAGATGTCAAAAGCTTTCTTCTCAAAGGCTTCCATAGATCTACTTGCTATGACTGGTGGTAATGGAGAATCTATAGCTGTTCCCGACGTTTCTTCAAAACTTTGACTGTCATAAGAGGAATATGTTCCAGGCAAGCATTTTTCATTTAAGATGAGAAGATTTGGTTCCATCACTGAAAACATATTAAAAGTTATAAAGAAGTGTAACATCAAAACCAGATTTACCTCTTGTCCAAAAATCTCTCAACATCTTCGTTCCGTCAAAGACAAAATTGCATTTGAGTTGCCAGGAGTTTACAGCGTCACATGCATATGCGGCAAAGAATTCATTATGGAGACAGGACAGAAAATAACAACTAGGCTCAAGACTAAAACAAATAAACTCATCAGCAGTTGACGAACACGATTACGAAACCGGATATAACTAAAATTCTTGCATGTAATCAATTCTTCTACCCACGAAAAATTCTGGAGTCTATAAAAATCTATGAGCAACCTAACAATCTTAACCATGACACAGGTCTTTAATTGTCACTAATATGGGTATAAGTCATTCGAGAAGATGTTTATGCCCCGCATTTAGCTTCGCCCCCTTCAAGCAATATAAAGGGTGATTCAATAAGGGTTTCCACAGTAAAATTCTAAAAAAAAATCGGAAGAATATAAAAATATACAAACATTTCTATTTGCCTTTTTAGATTAGTGTATTACAATTAGGTATGAAAGATGATGTCATTCAAATGACCCCCGAGGCTCACGTGGCATGACGTAATTCGTTTATTGAAATTTCCTATCACTTTTTGACACAATTCAGGTTCCATGCCGGCTGTTTCGCGTCTAATCTCCTGTTTCAGCTCTGGAATAGTGATTGGTTTATTTCTATACACTCTGCTTTTTAGATACCAGAAAAAAAAATCTAGGGGAGTAAGATCACATGATCGCGGCGGCCAATTGATATCGCCGTTACGTGAGATAATCCAACCAGGAAACTTGCCCCGCAGCAATTGCATCGTTTCTTTGGATGTTTGATAAGTGGCTCCATCCTGTTGGAACCACAAATCTTCAATCTCCATACCTTCAAACCGCTCCCAGAAAAAATCAGATATCATGTTTCGATATTAACCGTAACGCATTATCCTCGAAAAAAAAAGGGCCAATTATTCCTCCGCACCAAAATGCACACCAAACAGTCACTTTTTAAGGATACATTGCTTTTTCAACAATCTCTCTTGGATTTTCTAATCTCCAAATATGAGCATTGTGTTTGTTTACAAAGCCACCAACGTGAAAATGTGCCCCATCGCTAAAGATGATTTTCGTTGAAAAATGAACCCCTTGTTCTCGTATCCATTCTGCAAACACGCGGCGCTGTTGATGATCTCGAGGTTTCAACTCCTGAGTAATTTGGACTTTATATGGGTTTAGATGCAAGTCTTTTGTTAAAATTCGCTCTGTGGTTGAACACGTAAAACCCACTTGCTGCGATCGATGACGAATCGATGTGGTTGGATCTTCGGCTACACTTTCGCGAACAATGGCAATATTTTGATCTGACCGACCTGCACGAGCATGTTGAGGGACTTAGAGGTTAGTTACAGATCCAGTTTGCTCAAATTTTTGAACCACATTCCAAATTGTCCTCTCAGAAGGTCGATTTTGCGTGGAGCCCGAAATGAATTTTTTCTTGATCGACCATTTTCATAATAGGCTTGCACAATTTTTAAACGTTGTTCAGCCGTATATTGCTCCATGACTAATTTTGTTTATGTGTTGAGGTTAGAAATCTCATATGATAATAAACAAATACAGTGGCGTTTCAAAAATATTTCAGCCGTTATAAGCAGGTACCGAGTGAAATGCGAGCCAATTTTAGTTAAGCTCTGAAGAAGCCGACAGGATCATTGGCGGAACGTTAGCAAGTTCGACTCAGCAGGAATCCAGAAGTTTTGTAAATAGTATAATATTGTTGTCTTATATTGTTTATAAATAACCAGAGTTTATTTGTATTCCCAACATCACACAAACTAATATCAAGATCTGGCAAAAAATAAGATATTGCAGGAACACCAATTTGGCAAACAGTGTGATGTAAAAAACATTCGCGAATGTTTCAAAAATTCTGAGACTTTAGCCCGTATGATACATAAAGCAGTCATGCAAAATTAGTTGTTTAACCTACTATGTTAACCTATGATGTTACCACTTAAACCTATCCGAATTTCTATTCAACAAAATAACGAAATGTTACCTTAATAAGATAACATATTCAAAGCATTAAATTTGATATTCATTAATCAGTAAATGTAGCTAACGGTGTAAAAATCGCTGGTTCTAACCTAAAAATTCTTTTATTTATCTATCACTTCGTACTTAGTACACACAGTGTCCGATCCTAAACGAGATGATGGCAAAGTGTCTGAAACTTCTCCAACAACTGAGGCGTGACGTACAGACAAGATTATATGTGATAGATAATCAAACAGAATTTTTAGGTTAGAACCAGCGATTTTCATAAGGATATCAAATTTAATATTTATTTTATGTGATTTATGTTATTAACTTAACAATTTATTACTACTTAAACTGGAATATAATTAATTTTAGGTGGCAAATTTATAGGGTAGATACGTTAAAATGCAGAATAGGAAGAATAGATTTCCACGACGACTTTATATATTATACACGCAAAAGGTGTCACGCAAAGATATATTTTAAAGTTGCTCGAAAGAGGCATTTTGTTTATTTAGCATAAGAAATGGCATATTTTATAGCATTTAACCCTTTGTAGGTTGTATGTTAATAAATATGTATGTATATTCAAGTTATTGGAAAAAGATATCTCAAATGGTGTATTCAACAGAACACTGTAAAGAAATTATTAGTGTTAACAACATTTGTAGAAATGTATACCAATGAAAGCATATGGGATATTGATACATTTTAATAACATAAATGTAATTTTAAGAATGTAGAATGTGCCTTTGTAGTTCCTTTGATGCATATCTTCATGCAGATGTAGAGTCGAACGACAATACCAGAAATTCCTGTAGAACTAGAAAATTTGGTTAGAGTTGTGGGAGTAGGTGAGTGGCCTATATATTGATTAGTTTATGCAGTGTGGCACAAAAGCTTGACATCAGTTTTTTTTTCTCAAGTCCCTAAATATAAAAGGAAACCAATTTGTAAGTGAGGGATAAAGAATTTTACATTCGTTGGTGATATTAGCCAAATTGTTAGACCTACCTTTCAACAGATATGCATAAAATTTTGATTTCTTTCAATTCTCGTAGAACTAGAATATTTGCCTAGAGTTGTGGGAGTAGAACAAGAACAAAAGCTCTCAACAAACAACTGGTTTTCCATGACGACTTTAGGTGTTGTACACGCAAAAGGTGTAATGAAACGAGGTAACACTGATTTATTTTTTATAATAGATCAAAATTTTAATTGAATCCTTTGTAGGTTGTATGTTAATAAATAATATATGTATATTCAAGTTATTGGAAAAAAGACATCTGAGATGCCCCGGAACAAAATATCAAGCATCAGGAAAGGTTGAAGAGAATGGTGTATTCATTTTAACTAAGGGGCAAGGACAAGACAATCACCAACACTTGGAGTACTAAATAATTTTAAGAGTTGCTTGAGGGAGGCATATATAAGACAGAAAGCAGAGCAAAAGAACATGTACAACTTCCTTGAGAAAAGGTGAAGAAATTATTAATATCAAAAATATTTGTAGGAATAAGTACATCACACTATACCACTGATACCTAGGGTATTAATAAATTCCTATTAAATTAATGTAATTTTAGAAATGCAAAAGATGTAGTACGTACCTCTACGCAGAGGCAATCAAATAATCCTGTAGAACTAGAAAATATGGCGAGAGTCCTGGGAGCAAGGGAGTGGTTATACAGTGTGGCAGAAAAGCTTGGCATCGGCCATTTTGCTCTCAAGGCCCGAAAGGATTCAAATTTGGGAAACAGGGATAAAAAGTGATTTTGTATTCGTTGGTGGAATTATATAAAATATCTGACCTACCCCTCTTCAAATATAGGCATAAAATTTTGATTTTTTCAGGAATTTTCGAGTATTTCATATTTTTTAGTGTACTTTAATAGAAGCCACCAAAACATGTTAAATAATAATAATGTATATATCAAAATGGCAATACGTATTGGATTTTTCTAAACTTCTAGATACATTTGACGTTTATTAAAAAAAATACTGATAACTCCTAGTAAGGTGTATAGAAGTAGAGGTTATCTTTGTCATAAAAATTCAAAATAGTATTTTCACAAGCTTTTGCTTGGAAAAGGCACTATGGATTGTACATCAAATATAAGGAAATGTAGATGGAATTATTTTTTGCGCAAGTATGTGTCAGAAGTAATTATTAAAATGCTTGCGTTTTAAATTTTTGTCCACGTCCAGATCCATGATTATTATGTAGTTCTCATGTAGATATAAGATATGTATCAACTTATTAGGAAAATAGACTCGTAACTGTTAGGGACAGGTTGCACAGTGAATCCAGTTCATAATCAATTTCATTTCTATCATCAGGTGTAAACCCTAACTATTTTGCCAAAAATTGAATTTTCACTTATTTATAATCTGCCATTTTTAATTTTGAAAATGTTAAATGACCCATACACCCTAAAAACTTAAAAAATATCTTATTAAAATGGTACGTGTTTAAAAGAGATCAAAGTTGTCAATGCTATCATTCATAGAATCTTGATATATTTAAATATGTATAAATAGGAAGCGATAACGACGAAAAAATATTCAAAATGATATTCATTTTTTTGGAAACAATAATTTACCATATGCATAGGAAACACCAGCAACATTTTGCTAAAACCACGTCATTCAAATGAAACTGGTACATTATATTTGTCCTTTTTCTATTTGGCATTCGAACGTCAACATTCCCTAAAATTTTACATTTAGTGAATACTCCAATTTCTAAGACACTCTGTATATATCAAGGGACTTTAATTGCCCATTACCCTTTTCTTCAAAACTGAAATTGCTGCTCCTGAATATGATTTCAAATTAGAAAATTTCCAATTTACCATATGTGATGAAAAAACACAGACAATCAATTTCCATTATCTCCGTTCAGTTAATGACAAAGTGTATCACTATATTAAAGTAATTTTAATTTATCCATTTAGCGAGAAAACGAGTTTTCTACCGCCATTGTGAGCAATAGATAGAAAAGGGCATCTGGTGTAATACGTACTAATCTAAACCTATAAAAGAAAGCCGCAAATTGGGCGCCGCAAGCGATTTTTGCGAAACCAGACAAATACGAGTTTTAATCGTTCTCCCTACCTCCTTTTTTGACGAGCCGCCATTTATCTTCATTTAGACCGAGGCGAGAGATAATTTTAAACCGACTCTAATAGCCTCCGGAAGCGAAAAGACAAAGCGGAATTAAACAAAATTCGTCAATAACCAAGGCCGCCGTGTTTACCTTTAACTAATTCGCCGACGTTGTTTAGTCGTTCGAGAGTAAAAGTGCGATCTTTATTTATTTTTTGAATATATCGCGAAATTCCAATACAATTTGGTCTCTCAATTCCGAGAACCAGCTTTGACCGATCGGCAGAAACCAATCCGGCTTTGTGAAAAAGTAAAAAGGAATCTTCTTCGAGGTACATTCTAGCTTTCCATCCTTGATTGTCGTGAGAAGTTCTGTATGTATATTCATTTGCTCCAGGACCTCTTATGTTCCGTCCAAGATATTCGTAGCATTCGCCTGTAGTCGTGCTTTTCGAAATCTACGACCAACTCTTGCGCCCGTACAGAAGAACAGGGAAGATATAACAGCAAAATATTCAGGTTCGGAGTGTCAGGCTGAGGTTTCGGTTATTCAGAAGTGTCCTCATGTTATTCAGAGTTTTCCGCGCTTACTGCATTCTAGATTGTTTTGGAGTTTTGGGTCGCATCGTTGGTTGACGACCGTACCCCAGGTATCTTAGAGATGACATCTGTTCAATAATCTCTCCATGGAGTCTTGGGTGGCGTTTCTTTGTGTTTTTGAGAATATCAATAGTTTGGTCTTGGACGTAGACATATTAAGGCCGAATTACTCACTATATTCCACAATATGGTTCATAAGAGATTATTTTTAACGTTATCATTTTAATGCCTGGAGTTGTGTTCTCGACGCAATATACATCCTAGTAGCACACCTCTTCTTATTGCTATTTCTTCTGATGTGCACCCTTCGATTTTGACTGTCGCTGGTTGGTGGCAGTAAAGTCCAGTTATGAATTAAATCTTGTGCGTCGATCCTGGTTGATTTTAGGATGCCGGTAATTTTTTGATGTGACACAAAATCAACAGCTTTTTTTATAGTCAATAAAGCATGCAAATACAACGGCATGTATATACATGAATGAAATAGGCTTACGCCTAATAAAAAGAAGGAAGAAGAACACGAAGAAACCATACCGTTTCCAGGAAGTGCAGAAAATAAAAAGAGTTCAGTCCGATATTTCCTATTTTACCTCAGTTGAATAGATAAAACCTCTTTCAGATGTAGGAGTGGGCTGAAGCTTGCCCCTCAGATTGATTTGGAAATTGCTGGATTGTTTAATGTGAATTATTGTGCCTTCTCCTGGAACCGATGAGAAATTAAGATCTATTAAAAAAGTGAATTTATTTTTGACTTCAGGGGAATTTATTTAAAATTATTTTAGCGATAATGTTTTGAAATAACATGGTGAAAGAAGCCCCGCTAGTTACCTACCTCGTTCAACGTCGCCGTCCAATTTATTTTCCTATTTACGATGTCATAAAGATTTTTCCGTAATGGCGGGACCGACTGAAATTAAAGTTACGAAGGAAACGAGACATAAAATACGCCGAAGTAAACTCTTCCGGAAGTGCCTTAAAACTTTTGTCAAGATCCTTAACTGCAGAATAAGCCGTTGTGAATATTTCAAAGCGGTTACGGCGGTTGAGTTTACTTGTCGCTTTCGGTTGTTTTTTTCCTTGCACGCGCGCGTTCTGCAAAGTTTGCAAAGTTTTATGCCTCGGCACGCGCTTCGAATTCGCATAATATTCCTTCGTAAAACGCAGAAACTTGTTGCTATTGATATGACTACTTCTTAACTCTACTTATAGTGTTTTTTTTTCCATATAGCCAGAATGTCTCTTTATAGAAGCAGCCCCAGCGTTTTTCTCTAGTAGGGAGTGTTGGGTGGTATCGGACATATTAACAGATTTTTGCAAAAAACATTTATTATCAAATTTGTGCAATAAAACAATATTGACAGGATTACTTAACACGTAACACACAAGAAATAAATATAAATCCTTTAAAAAACTAAAATTTAATATTTTTACCGCATTAGCCTTGCCAGCTCATTCTTGGTAACACTTCGCTCTTCTGGGCACTTCTTTTTATTGAATTCCTTCTACAAGACATTTCTTTAAGAAGATCACTAACACTTTTTTCAAACGTTTCATTTTATTCAAGAATACTTTTCCTTGGTAGTCTCCTAGTGCATATGGTAGTAGTTTTTTGTCCTTTGGCAATTGACTAGTCTTATTGAGCGAGAAAACTTCCATTTTAGGAGGTCTGGATGTACAGGAAGGTCTTGTTGTTTAAGCTTTCTTGGAGGTTTTGGTACGGTAGGGACTTGTGGAGATTCAAAAGTTTTTGTTGGCATCTGCCAGCCTTGTCTCTTACGTTTTGGATGGTAAAACAGGTGTTTCGATTTGTTCTGGGATGTCTAGTGCTTGCGATGCAATAAAATCGCAGTCTGCGAATTTAGTTAATAAATATCACCACACTGAAGTCCCTTATTCAATAACTCCATCCTGCAAATCTTCGTAAAGGCCTCGTTTACCAAGCCCACAACTTCATAAACACTAATTGTCATAAAATAATTTTACCTCATCCATCTAGAAGCTGCTTCGTTTGATGCACGAGTGAATGGCGTCATTACACACACATCCAAGGGTTCTAGCTTATGGTTGCCGTTTTTGCGGTTAAAAATCTATTTAAAAAAAAAGCGTCCATCTACTCTGATTCCTGTGCATGTGCAAATTTATTTTCTCCATTTTGTTAATGGAGAGAATCGGATAATCCATCTGTCCAATTAACGTAATATAGACCTTGAAAACACAGTCGATAAGATTAGAGTCTGTTTCTAAATGGTTAAATACCATCAAAATTATTTATACGCGTTAGACGTGATAATGCTATTTTGACAAGAAGGAAATGCGACAGGTTAAGTGAAATGCCTGAAAAATGTCCAGAAATATCTGCAAAACTTCAAAATTTCACTATTTTATGAAAATGAAATGGCGACCCTAGACAGAACATAGTTCTTGAAAAGTGCAATGGAGAAGAGAGAAGAGAATTGGTTATTTATTACCAAAAATGTGGTAAGATGTAATATTTTCAGTGCTGAAGGTTTCATGGAAGGAGTGTTAAAGCACCATGAGGAAAAATCAGGCCTCTCCTCGAAATAGTTACGGACAATACTAACTCGAAAACTTCGTCTTAGAGAAAACACGAGATTATCGATACTTGCTTAAAGGAAATGAATTTCCACAAACGTTGTTATTCAAAATAGGCACTGACATTTATTTGTTACAAAGAACCCTCAAGAAAATAGTGAAAACGATCTTGAATTAAAAACTTGAAAAATTCACTTACCAGCGAGCCCCGAGGCAAGCACATTCACTTACCCAGTTGAGTCTGAAAATGAACTTAAACAACTTTTATACTTTGAGCCTTCTCGGAAAAGAGATTAAGTAACTCCCCTCGAACGGCTTCCAGGAAAATTTAACCGCCCAGTTCAGGAAAATTTCATCTTTTGTTTTTGTGGCGCACTAAGGTGCGCAATTTTCCAGTAAATTGTCGTCGTATGGTCGTCTACGAGGTAGTGGTTTCAGAGCAGTTTTCAGCAATTTTCAGGCTTAGGATACTACTGTATAGTAATCT